GGTTTTGCAACAAACAAAGGAAGTCTGAATAAAAAAGTAAACTGATTTAATAGAACGCGTTAATGGATTGTTAAAATATAGAGTTCGACACTTGATATGTGTTTGTTTTGTAATATTCAAAATGGCAAGCTTTTAAGCCCGAAATCTGTTTAATCTTCCTGTTTAAATTACTACCTATATCAACGCATTGCTTTTTCATTGTTTGTTTCGAGCATAATATAAATGAGTTGTTTAAAATCATATGTAAATATGCACTTTTTAATTTAAAAAATATTAGTAGAAAAATTAAATTGAATTTAAACTATTCTGCTTAAATATTGAATATTGTATTTTAAATCCACTTTTATAAGGAATTAGAAATGAAATCGGTATGTTTTTTAAGTTAAATTCAAAAGTGATAATATAAGATCGACCTTGACAAACATTTACAAATTCAATCGGTATCAAACAACATTGCAGGTGACCTGTGACTCGGAAGGCGTGCATCTAGCAGCTAACAACTTTTATTAAAAGTTCAAACAATAACTTGTCGACTTTATTCAATTGGCATGTGAGGTCAAAACCGCAGCAAATAAAAGTTTGTCGAGGCGACACCGTTCGAAGCGGATGTTGGCGACAGTTACCTTATTTGGAAACCGTCCAGACTTTAGCGAACTTTTATGTTATTTCAATGTGGGAAAACTGAAAAGATCGTGTTCAGGATTGCTACTTTTTAACGAGTTGCCGTAATAACGAGTGTTAAAACGTTTTTATTACTACTTTTCATACGGATTTTGGTAATATAAAAATAAATTATACGAATAAAAGGATTTTATTCGATTATTTACATCTTATGAATATTACGAGCGAATACTTGGATGTATGGATGGATGGATGTTTGTTAGAAGGTATCTCCAGAACGACTGCATTGATTTCGCTGAAACTTGACAAACATGTAGAATTTATACCTGGAAGAACACATAAGCTACTAATACATTTTTTTTTTTAATTCCACTCGGATAGAGTCAATTTTCCACCGAGAACTACGATATAATACTATTTATTATTATGGTATTTGTAACCACACGGTCTTCCCATCGACAAATCGAGATCATGTCCTGACATGTACTAATGGATGTTTTCCTGAACTTTGAGTATGGACGACGAAGTTTCCTTGGCTTGACCACTAGGTCGACCACCTGTTACGTCGCTACAAATCGTCTATAGAATAGAGTTAACCTATTTATATATATCATGGCATAATTGGAACTACTTATTTATTGTATTATCACTTATCACAGGTTTTATTTTTTATTAATCTTCAGTTTAAAAGAATCAAGTAAATTTTGTAGAATACGTACTACGATAGGATTAACAAAAACATCTTCTTACTTCTTACTAATATTATAATAGAGAAACTTTAGATAGATGGATAGATGTTTGATTTAAGGTATCTCCGGAACGGCTCAAAAGATTTTGATTAAATTTGACACACATTTAGAACATACTCTAGAAGAACACATAGATTACTTACTAAGTTTTTTTTAAAATTACGCATGGATGTCGTCGTGGGAGACAATTAGTGTCTTAATAAAAACAGTTTGAACGTCACCTGTAACTTTTATCTTTCTTTATTCTGATTTAAAACAAATACTATGTGCCACTGACATATATTTTAAAATTGGAATACACACCTCTAGATAAATCCTTACAAATATTATAAATGCAAAAATAACTCTGTCCGTCTGTCTGTCCTTCTTTCACGCAAAAACTACTGAACTGATTTAAATGAAAGTTATACAGTTAGCCTAGAGCCTAGGGAAGGACATAGGCTACTTTTAACACGATAAAGGGGTTGTGAGGGTGAAAAATTTGAATCCTACCCAAAGACGAGTATTTGACGCGGACGAAGTCGAGGGCATAGATAGTAAGCCATAAATTAATATGTATTAAGGGGCGTTGTTATATAGTCTTCATAATAACAGGTGTTCAGTTCACACATACTCTCAATGTATTCATTAATTTGTTAATAACTCAACACACGTATTTCGTAGATCTACAATAATTAATATAATTAAAAATAAATTAAATATTCTCATGTTAAAATGGCTTTTTGTAACGGTGCAGTAAAATAAAAGCAATCAAATGAAATGTAATATGTTAATTTCGTGATAAAATTTTCATGTTTTCTTTTTTTTATATCAAAATAAAAAGTATATCTGCATACGAATTCAAACCTAATTCTAATCTGATACCTAGTTGTATCATATTTCCAAGTTTAGATTTTTTCGAAAACCTTAATAAAGGAAAGACTGACTTTCCTTTATTAAGGTTATTGCTCATTGAACGCCTCCTCTGACAATTTTGCTTGAATAAATAAACTGAATTAGTGCAACATTCTTGCCTTTATTTCAGATGATTCAGTACCGTAGTCTTGTTCTCCAAACAACTAACCATCTTTTATTAATTGAAGAGTTTTTCTATATATAATTTTTTTTTATCAAATTAGAAGTGTTGATTTGTAGCTTAATAACTATATTAAATGCAGTACGACTATTAATATTATGTGACGAATTTAACCTCGAAATTTTTGGTCAAAATATGATAATTGCAGCATTCAGGTTTTGATATAAATAAATTGTTCGCAGAGTTCTATTGACACGCAATTAATTCAATCATATATCACACTAATGTAACAAAAAATCCAATGTATATTTAAATTAAGACAATGATATAAAAATAAATAACATTGTGGCCTTAAATTTAAACTACCAATTTTGATATGGTATATTAATAAAATAGCGGATTCAAATTTAATTAAATTATTTACATTAAATGTTAGTCTGCGAAGAAAAGAAGCCGAGAATTATATGAACAACAACAAAATCCTCTTAATAAATTTGTGAGAAGGACACTTTTGTTAATTATCAAAGTATACCGAATTCATAAAGTATTCGCGTAACGAAGTAGCCATAAGCGTCTTGCATACTGGCTACGTTAATTGAACTCTCATTTAAATACAGATATAATTTAAGTAACGCCCGAGTAAACCGGCATATTGTCGACGAACATAAATTCCTGAAAATCCGTAGAGGTCGTTGTACCTTTTTAAAAACCATGGCTCCTTAATCTACTCAATGTCATTCCCCGTTAACGGTACAACGCATAAAGTGTCCAGTGAAGTGCTGCGGGATAATAACGGACAGGACCTATTTGGCAACGGTCCGTATCATTAAGGTCATAAGTTATTTCGTCGAAGGAGTAAGCAGGCGGCAGATAAGGCGGTGCGCAGTGCACCAACCGAATGGGATCGCGCTGCGTACGCCGGAGTGGCGCCGGCCACTTGGCAAAGCTTTCGGTCAATGTCCTTTGCCTCAATAAAAGCCTTCGCAAGCTTGAGCCAAAACAATTTCGCCAAAATTCTTGCCAATGCCCCAACACGCATGGCTTTACGATCCTTCCGCTGCACCGCTGGATTGGAAGCTGGATATTTGGCGGCATTACTTACTAAATACATTTCAATGTTATATTTCCTTGCATACAGCATTTGAGCAATATTTATTTTAAGACAGCAACTTTATCAATTCAATATATTATAGAATTAAAAACAATATACTAATTACGTTGCCACATAAAAATTAAATGTAAATAGATTTCATGTGAATCCCTTAAACGTTGATAAGAGCGGTCAATATGAGTAGAAAATGTTACATGCAAGTGCTCAAATATTACTAGTTTAACATTTGATCCATAAAAATCTGATAGACTTACGTATAGAAAAAAGCTTTAAAATCATATTATTATAAATATAATACAAACCATTGTGAAAATAAAATTTGTTTTGTAAGGAAAGAATTGAGAAAACGGTACAGTACAGGACAAAATGTCAATCCGCATTCCTTACACACCATTCTGCCTTAGGAGTTTAAGACTTTAACAACTTTGTTACCATTAAATTCTATATTTTACAGTGTAAAATCCATTGTAAATATATAGCAATACATTACATTTTTAATTGAAATAACTTTAGTAGTAATTAGTTAAATAAAATGTAATAGGATCTCCTCATATATAACCACAAAAAGTTTAATTAAAAAAAATTGTCACATATGTAAACAATACTGGCCAAAAATATCCACTTCTTTTTTCTTTTATGTGCATCCAGTTTCATTATCTAGAATTCATTAGTTCCTTAACAAAAAATTATTACTACATGTGATATAATTAATTTCAATTAACATTTAATTTTTTTTTAAATTCTAAATCCGAACCAACAAAATACATTTCGGGCTCTTAGTCTATTTTTGTTGATAAATATGTTTATCATTATTTGTAATCTCTAAGATTTGTCTAAATGTTGCAGATAATCTATTGTAAAGGTAAGTTTAAACTTAGCTTAGAAAGGTCTAAGTTAATTGCTTGGTCTAAGATTGCTTAGAATAGCTTAGTTGGACGATCTCACATGAATGAGGACGATAACGTTTAAATAGATTTTAATATGTCATCAATTGCAATAGTGTTTTAGAAAACATTATGCAAAATAATCAACACTAAACATCGAATAAACGTAGTCTGATTTGTGAATTAAAATTTATTAGGACTAAACTAAATAAAATACATTACCCTTTTAAAAACATAGCAATTAAAGGTCATTTACCTTTAAATTCAAACGATTTTATTTCAAATAAAGAACACTTCTCAAAGACTAACTAGTTATAGCAGTTTACTGACTACGTAGATTGAACTGAGTTGATTTTTATCATTTACAAGCAATGACTAGAGCAACCTTAATTGAACATTAATAATCGAGTTTTGTGCGTAGCTTTTGTCTAGTGAAATAGGCTTTCATTGGATAAAACAATAACTAAAACATCAAATATAAATATTAGTAAACGATGCCTAAGTAAGTGGCATTTCAAAAGTTTTATGTAAGTTGTAATTTAATAACTTTAGAGTTGTGTAAAGTTTTTAATTTTTGTAACAGATTTATTTGGGTTTTAAAAATAATGGAAACAAAAAGGTTATATTGAAATATAAATTTATTATCACAATTCATAAATAAGGTTCTAAATTCGAAAGTACTAAGCTCTTACATCTAAATATAAATTAAAATATTCTAAACATCCCCAAGCATTCCTCACCGGGAGGAATATTTGAGTCACATTTTCATAATTTTTTGTACTTATAATATATTTGATGGGCCATTATTTGCTACAAACAAATGATACATAAGTCTTTTTACAAATAGATCGTTAAATATTTTCATACACATTTGAATACAGATCAAAAAGTCACAGTCGTGCCACGTTCAAAGGTCAAATACATGAATTGGTCATCAAGTTAAATGGGATCCATAAAATTAGATTAAGCAAAGTATTGTCTACTTAAAAAATACTGATTCATGATGAGGAATATTGTAGGAAATCGTTTGTTTGCTTCCGGAATGACAAGTTATTTTAGTTGACCTTTTCTAAGACCCATTTTCCAGAGTATGGGGTCTCTAACCTCTTAACCTTAGGACGGAAACCATTCTCGTCGGCGGTGTAGTCGACCCTGTACATGAAACCATCAGGGCCAAGGTACTCGTAGAAACCAGATGAAGCGATGCCTTCGTCGATGGTGTTAGGGTTCTTAAGAATCGCATTCTCCTTGGCACGAATTTTGTTTTCAGTTTCAAAGCTGAAATAAAATAAATACTTTACATATTTTTTGAATTTTATTTTCTACGTTTCTCATTTAAGGTAACAAATTCCTGAAATTGTTTTCTATCATAGCTTACTAAACTATTATACAGATTTTTATTAATTCTTTAATTATATTTAAAGTTATTCGATCATAAAAACACCATAGCTTTTAACCTAATTACATCAATTCTTGTGTTAAAATATTTGACGCTTGACTTTGAAATATCGATAAGTCACGCATCAGTTTAGTATAAGCTTAATTCCAAATTGTAATATTGCTATTCTAAACCATTATAAATAGTTTTGAACTCTAACCTAACAACGTGAGTGTCAAATTACGTATTTGTCAAGGCCGAAAGGTGTTACACTGACAAGACAATACCGGTACATTTGGTAACGGATCGAACTAAATACAATAAAGACATATATCATCATCAGCTCAGTATATGTACCTCACCACCGAGGTGCTCGGAGCCTACCCTAAGTTAAGGGTGATTAGGCCATAGTCAACCACGCTGGCCCAGTGCGGGTTGGTTGACTTCACACATATCATGGAATTTCTTCTCAGATATGTGCAGATTGCATCACGATGTTTTCCTTCACCGTAAGAACGTCGCATAAATGTACACATATAAATCGATAATCGAAAAACACATTGTTACATGGCGGGATTCGAACCCAGGACTTGCAGATTGCAAGTCAAGTGCTTAACCCCTGAACCACCGACGCTCTCCATCAGAGACAACTATAAATATTGTTTAAAATTGAAAAGTATTATTCGGAAGCATTTCAAATAAAGTGGAATTTGAAACAATAATTTATATAACGGTGAATCTTCACAGACTTATAAATGTAAATGTATTTGATAAGCACGACATTCAAACCAAGCAAGGCCGAACTTATTCTAAACAACCTAATAAATTATGTTTATTACTAATTCCATATGTTAATTCTAATTTTTACTTCATTTTCGTCAAATTCTAGAACAAGGAAATGACGACATTCCAAACATTCTTTGTATCGCTTTGTTAAGGAATGTACGCAAAATTAAAGCTGTGGATGGCCTTGTCGCTTCAAGGCTGGACTAAAATTAATGGTCTTAAGTTAGTTTAAACGGCTTGTAATTAATATCTGCTTCGAATTCTTGCATAATATTATTGACCGTCACGTGCTTAGTATTTGAACTAAAAGTCCATCAAATTTTCACGTGTTTGTAAATTTTTGGCAGTTTACAAATGTATTGAACGTTTTAGTTCTTTTTGGATATATTTAATGAATATCTCGATTAAATAAAGTTGACAAAAATTTGAAAGTTTACCGAGAACTTAAGAAACGATAGATAAAATGAGTTACCTCTTTTTTGTCGTTCAGAAACTAGATATTGATGATTTTATAAATACAAAGTTAAAGTCCCTTAACTTTTAAATATGAACAGAATAATCGTCAATTTAATTATTCCATTCACTTAACAAATATATAACTTGTGATGTACCAACGCCAAATATTCTACGCTAAAATATTTATGGTGTTTGAAAATTTCATGTGGCATGCACTAGGATTCGAACCAAAACAATTGAGTTTTATTCTACCCATATTTGCGTGTATAAAAACATGAATTCTTACTTGAAATCATATTTATCCTCATCGTAGACATGCTTTTGGCTGATGATCTTGATTCCATTGTTCTTGTAGTATCCATCCTTGTAGTAAGGTATGTCTTTTGGTGGGGTCATCACCAGTCTGTAACGATCTTCTGTAGCCGCGCTGACGTATGGCTCATAGTCGTGCGTGTATGGACCGAAGCCGCCGTTGTAAGGGTTATCGATATGGATATAAGGGTTTGGTATGTGAATGTATTTCCCTTCGTCTGTTGGTATGTATCTAGGCGGAAACGAAAATTAAATTAGTTAACTGGAAAAAAGTTTTTTTTTTATTTTTCGGAATTTTTTTAATCGTAGTTTCTATGCGAAATTTTTTGATTTTGTTTTTTTTGCCACGTGGTTTCAAATATGGCTAAATCTTGTATTGGATTGTTATAGGCTATCCCATTCCAATGGTATTTTTCAATTTCCATTGGTAGTGTATACGATTAGAACTATTAAGTTAAATTATATTATTATATTAAAATTGGAATTGTATATTATACAAAAATTAATAATTATTACTAACATGATTTATAACGTATTTAATTAACATTTATGTTTATATCTTACTGGTTATTTATTTTATTTAAATTATGCCCTTTGAGGTATTTATTAGGCCCAGAAGATACATCTATAATGTTTGCATTGACATTTACTTACTTGCCATTTTGTCCATATTTATAGGGATGCCATTTGCCATCTTCTTCAGGTGTACCGGCAACTGCTACCACGCAAATCGCAATAATATACTGTGAAATAAAATAAAAATTATTATACAACTTAAAAAAAAAACGATTGTAAATCGACAAAAAAATTACGAGAAAAAATATTTTATTAAAAAAAAATATTATTGTTAAAATTAAAATTAAAACTTGAAATATTTAATAATTTAAAATAATACCTTTATGGAATGCATCCTTAAAACACTTAGGTGAAAAAAAATAAAACAAAAATCACTTCAAAATTGTACAATCGTACAGACAGACACTTTTTCACTGTAATAATTGATATCACTATGCGGAAACCTATTCACGGTCGTACTTTGTATGTTCACTCCTTAGAGAATTTCAAATCATTGTGTTGATTTCGAAATCGACGCTTCGCTTTTATACATTTGCAACATCAACACATCTCTTGCAGGAGCGGACACACGCGCGCATTCCTCAATACATACACGCACACATCGAACGTCCCACGTATTTTTTTTTACATCTTTGCATACCATTGTTGGGCCGAGTTACTTTATTGGGGTATCGGTGTCATATAGAAATTATCGTTTCAAATGGTAAACACTAAAACAACTTTTTTCGACTACTTACATGCATGGATATTTCGAGCTTTCAAAGCTTTAAAGAAGCTTTTTCATAAATTCACGTAAATAACTTAATATTTTTAGGATAATTTGATTTTAAACTAGAAATTAAAATTATTCATGTTATAGTCTAATACAGTTATTTTATTTTTGTTATATTTTAATTATTTTTTAATTATTTTTTAATTATTTATTATTAATATTATTAGATGTAAAGAAATTTACTTTAATTTCGATACCTATTAGGAATTAAAAATAGGCAAAATACAAGACATTGGTATTTGGGACAAAAGTTTTATTTTAAACATCACGTGGCTACTTGCATTAGAAACTAGCTCATCCTTGTTAAGTTTCACAATATTAATTTATTTAACAGAATAAACAAATGAGGCACAATTTAAAGTCGCATATTCAAACAGCGGGATTACCCAAGTGATTCTTTCTATTTATTATATTAAAATATCTTACACTCATACATTGATACGATTAAAATAAAACTGTTGTTTTGTTTCGTTATTTCATATTTTAAATAATGTTTTATACACTAATTGTACTATCAGGTAGAAACGTCTGTGTATGAATAAGATCTGATAGAACTAACCTGATTAAAATATGCAGATCAATTTACATTTATATTATTTTATTTATCATTGATGCGAACGGTAATAATTTTCGCTATTTATAATTATTTATCTATTAAATAATAAATTGTACTGACTTTATGTGACCCCTTATAAAAAGCTAATATTTTTTATGTTAAAGAGAACAAAGCCTATAAGGCACAGTAATCCTATTTATTCCTATTTTAAACTAGCTGTTGACAGCGACTTTGTCCAAGCAGAATTAAACATTCGCATTTGTAAAATTAGAGTAATCTTTGAAAAACAAAAGGAGTGGTGCAGTAAGATCAAATGCAAATACGTCATGTGCATGTCTTCTTTGTTTTAGCAAAGCTTTTTTTTTAATTCTAACCAGTATTGAGATCGTGAGAGTCATTTTCATATTATTATACATAAACCACTCAAAATAAGTTGTTCTAACGAGTTCATTATACGGATATGCCTAATATTTCTTATTGGCGCCGTCGGGTGAATAATGTCGTCTTGAAAATATCAACATTCTCAGAATTAGGTTTGTGTAAAATCATCTTAATGATGTTAGAAGTTTCCATATTATTGTGTTTATTCATCAATATGACGCAGAGGATTCTTGTATCCTTGACGCTGGGCTGCCGGTAAGATATAATAAACATCGTGAGTTACCGCTTTATGAAATACTGGTGAAGGTGTTATGATAATATCGTAAGTCTCTGCAGTTCACGGAAATTCTCCACAAGTGGACCTCATAATATATATTCCTATAAATATATGAACCACTATAAAGAAAGGATTGCTTTGTATTCTCAAGTGTACTTGAAAATTAAACGTTCTTTTCATATGTCTCTTATTTGCAAAAATATTTATTGAATTTTCTTATAATTATTGTCATTCAACGAATGTTTAATCTTCTTTAAAATTATTCCTTGTTTAAGTTACGAAACGTAATATGTTTAATGCTAAGGGAAGAGATTGGTTCCTCAACATGGCAACATAGTTCAGGAGCCAAGGCTGCAATTAAAATCATTGTCACTATAAAGTTTTTTTTTATTTTTTAATCTTTTTAAATTCTCCTTAAAATTTAATTCTTAAGTGGGGTGTTCCAAATAATAGAAGTACGCGCTATGTGATAATAATACAAAAGCCACATTTCCCTACTTTTTTATTAAGCTCTACAGACATTGTACCGTAGTTTTTATTGTTAATATTTGCGGTATCATGATGTTGATAACTGATTCACCATCTAAATATTAAGAACGGTCACGTTTTAACTTTATGAATAGATTCTTGAACGTTTTTATAATTCGACGTGAATAGCTGACACCTCGCTGCAAGTATAAAGTGGGCCTACACTTCAATTGAAATTTGGAACATTTTGAAATACTTGAAAAGTGTTACTCCTTTCAACTTATTCAATTAATTCATTGCCTAGATAGTTTGGAGTGTGTAAGTATTTTTGTTAAAGTGTTGCTCTTAATTAAACGTGCTCTCGGATGCGCCTCATAGAAGTTTTGATAGTATCTCTTTAAGTTTCTAGTGCCAATCGTCTGGAGGCGAGTAGAGTAATTTAATATGGTTAAATAAAAGTTATACTCCTTTAGTGTCTTGTTATTAACATCAAGTTAGATCCAATTTTCACTAAGCGGCTAGCCGCGGGATTCTAGTCGTATTTTAGTGTATAGTGGAGTACGAAATCACAGCTGCGAGCGACAAAGTCGTGCTTGGTCTCCAAGTGAAAACAGACACTTATAATAGAAATTAATATTGTCATAATCTACTTTGATCAACGTTAGAATATAAAGATGACAACGGCTAAAACACATCGGGTCTAAGTCTTCAATCGCTGCTTTTGACATATCCCAGAAATCTGCCCAGAAACGATCCGGAACGAAGAACTCCAGGCACGTAGTGTGTACTGCGGTCAAAAAAGTTGAGTTGCATATTAAATTTTAAATCTGCTTTTTAGAACTTTTTAGTAATCAACAAAATTATATACAACAAATAATTAAATAGAAGATTAAAAGTATAAGTATGCCAGAAAAGTGTAACACTTAAGTTTTTATTAAACTAAAATAATAATTATAATATGGTTATCTATAACGGAATAAGAGATGATGTTTATTAAAAACTGTCTCATATATTCGGATTTAATTAATTAAGATAATATGGAAACATCCGTTTGCAATTATAGGAATTCAATATCAACGTAAATTGGGTATTTATTATAATTTTTCGGAAACACAGAGTTATTTAGTCTCTTATCAATTCCTCTTATTGCTGTGACATGATTCTCGTAATTTCGACTAACGCGTTGTTTTTAGAATTGCAAGAATAACAATAACAATGAATTAACCGATAAATATTTGTAAGAATTTTCCTTGTTCAGTTTAAGCAAAGGTCGCGATAAACGCGTAGAGATCCAAATATGGGAAAGTCTGATCGAATTTCGGATGACGAGCAGATGATTATTTATGTACGCTTGTACTTTTTTCTTTGAAATCAAAATAGTAACTATTGAACAGCATATTGATTATTGGTAAAAATAGTTATATTTTCCATCATAATAAGATTAAGATTAGTTTCGTAATAAAGTTCAAGATCGTGGTAAGACCAAAGTGTTCTAAGTTAGCATGAATCCTACATCGCTTAACATCGGTATGGTTCGTAGTTTACGTCAAAAGCTAGTTTATTTAAAAAGATAGTATTAAAATATGCAAAAAAATATGACAAGTAAATTAGCTCTGAATATATCCGTGATAATAATTATAAAAACATTAATAAATTCATGATAAATACGGGTCAAATGTTTTAAGTCAAGACCATATGAGTCAATGATGCTGATAACTATTCGGGTATTTACATAATTTAATGGGAATAATTTTATATATTGTAGTTGTAGAATAGTTATAAGATTTTTTAAGCAATTCTTGCTATGCGCAATTGGCACATGCCTACAATATATTTCACTTTACGAATATATGAGAATTGTGTCTACAAACTAAAGTAACACGGACATATAAAGTAATGTTGATTTAAGAATACTATGAAAGAATGTATTAATCTATTTATATACGTAGGAGTTGATTAATTGATGCAACTAAAAATGAAAAAGTCAAAACTCTTTGTCTACATTCTTTAAAATAACATTCACGTATTAAGAAAAATAAACGCTTGTTAAATAAAAATTACAATAAATATTTAATTCATACGAATTTAAACCACAAAAAAAATATTTAACAGTGGTAGAGCCCGCTTTAACATCTTCGCACGAATCGGCCCAGCTCGCCCGGTGAAATACCACGACCATACAGAAGACAGGCGTGAAGTGGAAGCAATTCCGCGTTTCGTCTGATGAGTGTGCGTCCCGGAGGCCTAATTTAGTCCTCTTTCCCTTCTTCTTTTTCTTAGAAGGAAAGGATGGGAAGTGGAAGTGAACTTTCCGGATGAGAGGATGCATGGGAATGGAAAATATTTTCTTTCTTAGCATCCTCTCCTCCATCGATTAAAGGTAGGCAACGCATATGCGATTACGTATGTCTATGGGCAACGGTCACTTCGCTATTTCAGCGATTTCGGGTGGCCGCTCGCTCGTTTGCCACCTTATGATATAAAAAAAAACAAAGTTTTTATGATATTGTAACGTTTATAACAAACATTGATAACTTCATTTCCTGATAAGTGTTAGAATAAACCAATAATTTAACCACCCGTCGAGCTTGCCCTAACAAAACAAAAATTATATCTTCATTCAACCCAGTAGCTAGGGAGTTTATGATATATTAAGGCAAACCACGCCATCTCGCTTCATATGGATTTTATTCATCATAAAATTATTCTCCCGAACAACTCTTTTGTTTAAGAATTGATCGTATACTCGAAAATATTTGATGTCGTTTCTTTTAAGACCGCCCTTGATGTGCTATATTCAATGTTTTTTCGATACTGAAAGCCTACGCACTTAAAAAAAGGTTATACCGAATTCGATAGTGTCATAAAGCCTTATGTACAATGACAAATATTTATGAAGTAACAAAATATTGCGAAGGGATAAATCTTTATAATTTATTATTACCTCACAGACATCGCCTAAAATAAGAGTTTACAACTGATAAGATTTATGTATGATTTATTAAAGGAATTAAATATTGTACCTATCATCAATCTTCTGATATTTCTTGTCC